ATGCAAAATTGCTTTAGAATCAATAGTTGATGAAGGCACTTCAAGTGAAAATTTGAATGATGAAGAACTTGATGATCTAGTTCTTTTTATTAAGAAATGGAAAAGTTTCTGCAACAATCGTCAATTCAACAAGAAAGAAGAAAAGGGTGAAGAGAAGAATAGATTCATCAAAAGAAAGCACTTCAATCAATATGGGATGAGAGTGATCATGATGACATGAAGAAGATGGAAGTCAAGAGGAAATTGCAAACATGTGCTTCATGGCCTTTGAAAATGAGGTAAACATAAATGACAAACCTTTATATGATGAATTATCTACCTCATATGATGAACTTCTTGAAAAATTTGAAAAACTTACTTTCAAACACTCTACTCTCAAAAAGAAAAATTCTTTATTAGAAAAAGAAGAAAAGAAACTTTTGGAAACTCAAAGTGATTTTGAAAAAGAAAAACTCAATTATGATTCTTTAATTAAGGAGAATTTCTCTTTAAAAGAAAAGATTTTAGATTTGACTCAAAGTGTTCACAAATTTACTCAAAGCAAGAAAAATTTTGATTTAATGCTTGGTGAACAAAAATATATTTTTTGATAAAGGAGGAGTTGGATACAAAACATTTTTAAAACAAAAGTCATTTGAAAACTTCTTTCTTAAAGTTTCTACTTTCCCTATTTCAAACATGACATGTAATTTTTGCAACAAAAATGGACATGTAATTGTTAATCAAAAAAAGGTTTCTGATAGAATATGAAAGAAAATTGCACTAAATATAATAACTCTCGAGATAACAAACGGTACAAGACTCCACTCTCAGGTATCCTCCCTTTTCTCACTTAATTTTTGCTGCCTTCTACTATTCCCCACCCCCCTTACATATACCCTTCTCCTAACCAACTCAACAGAATAGCTAACCACCTGACTACAGAGAGAGATGCAGCTTTATTCTAGAAACTACCGGCATGCCATGCTGTAATATAGTTATCTTCCATGTCACTTGGTCCCCTTACGTCTTGTATATGTAATTTTAATTGGGGGCTTGGGCTTGGGCTTATCAGTTTCACTTTGAGAGCAAATACAAGTGGATTCCAAAGTCTACAAACACTAACAATCAAGGACCCAAAATTTTATGGGTACCAAAGAGCAAAAGCTAAATTATTTTGTAGATATCAAAGAAAATAAAGAGCAAATCGTCTTGAGTTAGTAGATGTTTGAGCACATGATCGGGAAACAAGCTATATTCTCAAAAAGAAATAATGGAGTTCAAAATAAAAGAATTGGAGTCAATAAACACTCCAAAGAAGTCATCAATCAAATTGGATGATCAAGGTATATTTGTGAAAATAACAAAATATCAAGGTATGATCGAATCCTTTCTTTTTAACTACTAGATGACCCGATATTATGTTAAGTATGTGCTTATGTGCTATATTTCAATTAATCATAAAGCATAGCACATTTGTACTGAAAAATGGATTTTTAGATACTTAGTGTCACTAGGACATTAGGTTTTTGGCATCCGAATGCACCCACCTAATTTTACTAGCTTGTGGAAAATCAATTGACCAATAGTTTTACTAAACCTCTAGCTCTTGATAGATCTCTACACATTCAAAGAGGTTAGAAAATTTTTGGTTAATTTGAAATATGTGGCTATATGTTTATGCATTGATAAAAGTGTTTCTTTATGTCTCTATAATAGCAAAATTGAAATTATTTGTCATTATCTATCTACTTTTACTGAAAATGTCCCCTTAGTAGGTGATATTAAACATAATCCTTTTAACTTTTAGTCAATTTTGTGATAAATTTTATCATATCAAAACTTGATTCTTCCAAATGCTTATTGAAGATGCTACATCAAAAGATGATGTTTATAGGAAGCTAAAATAAGGATGTTTATGTCATTTGAAAGTGAAGAAAAATGTTTATCAAATTTAAAAGATACTTGACTATGGCATAAGATTGGGTAATGGACCAACTTTCAAATACTTCCAAAAATTATTTTTGTTAAAGATATGCCATATTTAAAATTTGAGAAAAAGAAAATTTGTGGCATGTCAAGCAAGTGAGAGTTTCTTCTAACTTAAGCAATAATCTTCGACTACAAAACATGTTCAATTTCTTCACATGAATCATTTTGGACAATTTAGAATCATAAAATCAAATGGTAGGCATTACGCTTTATTGAAGACTATTCTAGATTTCTTGAATCTTATTTTTGAACCTAAAGCATGAAACTTTGAATTATTTAAATATCTATATAAAAAAGTTCAAAATGAAAAGGGATGTACTATTATATGTTTGAAGTGATCGTGGTGAAAAATTTTGAAAATACTGATTTTGGTAATTTTTGCAAAATTGATGGCCATGAACATTACTTCTTGGCTCCTTGAACACCTTGACAAGATGGTGTTGTAGAAAGGAAGAATCACAAATAGCAAGAAATGACTAGGAAACTATTTACTTAAAATTGTTTAATTGCAAATGTTTTATCTTAAATATTAAGAAAATTTGAGAATTATCAATAAAATTTGAAGCATGTGCCTAAATTGATTTTATACTATAAGTTCTCATATGATTGATTCTACATGCATGATTAGTTGGAATGTATATAAATCTTATCCAAATTATTATACTTTCGTCATTTCATCACTCGTACTTTGATTAATATTTTTACTATAATGTTATGATCATCCTCTTGTTTAAACTTGCATATATTTGGCACTTTGTCATTAATTGAGGGGGGATATATTACTTTTTTCTATGGTTGACTTAAAGTCTTGAGCTTATATGATATACTCTTCCTATTTGCTAACTTTTTGAGATAAAATTTGAAAAGCATTACATCTCTTACAAAAGATAGGGGGAATAACGTGATATCTAAATATTCTCTATGGTCATGTTTTAATCTTAAATGTTATATCTTTTGCTTATGTCAAAAGGGGAAAATATAGTGAGATGATTATGCATGCTTTGAATTGAAAATATAATATGCCTAGAGTATATGAACAAAAGGAAAAAGAGTGAATATATGCTTTATATATACGGTTATTGATTTGTAAAAGGTAGGGGGAATATCACGTTGAAAGATGCATAAGATACTTTATGAAGTATAGAAAGATCACAAACCTAATTATAAATACTCTGGCTAAGTTAATAGTTCCTCAAAGTAATGGGGTTAAGATAAGTCCTAAAATCATTGATTGTGTATTTATTGGTTATGCCTTCTATAGTAATGCATACAAATTTATTGTACATAAGTCTGAAATACCCGATGTGCATGTTAATACGATTATTGAATTAAGGGATGCTAAATTTTTCGAAAATATTTTTCCTTATAACATGCAAAGTGAATCAAATTCACAGAAGAGATCTTGTGAAAATGAGGAGGCTATAGATCAAGAATCTACAAATCAACAACCTAGACGCAGTAAGAGGACTAGGACTTCAACCTTATTTGGGCTTGACTTTCTAACATATTTGTTAGAAAATGAATCTCAAAGCTTTAAAGAAGCTATGTCATCGATCGAAACTTCATATTGGAAAGAAGTTGTTCATAGTGAAATTGAATCCATACTATAAAATCATACATGTGAATAGTAGACCATTCTTCTGGTGATAAGCCATTGGGATGTAAATGGATTTTCAAAAGAAAAATGAAAGCAAATGGATCAATTGACAAATATAAAGCTAGATTTGTCGTTAAAGGCTATAAGAAAAAGGAAGGTCTTAATTATTTTGATGCCCATTCTCTTGTGACAAGAATTACTTCCATACGTATGCTAATTGCGATAGCAGTGTTGAATGGTTTGGATATACATTAAATGGATGAACATCTTTCTTGAATGAAGAGTTAGATGAAAAAATTTATATGGAGCAACCTGAAGGATTTGTCGCCTCAGGACAAGAACAGAAAGTGTGTCGACTTGTTAAATTACTTTATGAATTAGAGTAAGCTCCTAAGAAATGACATTAAAAATTTGTCACGGTTATGATATCAAATGGTCTCAAAATTAACGACACAAATGTGTTTGTGTCAAGAGCACTCAAAATGGATATCATGGTATGTTTATATGAAGATGACATGTTGATTATGGATAACAAATATACCATAATTCAAGCTACTAAAAGGATGCTAACAAATAAATTTGAAATGAAGTATCTAAGTGTGGCCGATGTTATATTAGGAATTAAAATCTCTAAAATATTCGATTGTCTCATATTGTCTCAATCACACTACATTGAGAAGATTCTTGATAAATTAAAAAAATATAATATTATTCCTATGAAAACACCTATAGATGCCAGTATGCATCTTGTTTCCAATACCGACGATAGTATGTCTCAATTGGAATAATCTCGAATTATTGCTAGTTTAATGTTTGTCATGAACTGTACTCGACCTGATATTGCTTATTCAATTAATAGGCTAAGTCGATATACGAGCAATCCAAGCATTGATCATTGGAAGACAATTGCTAGAGTTTTTAGGTATTTAAAACATACCAAAAACTTTGGATTGCACTATTCGAGATATCCAGAGTACTTTAAAGATACTGTGATGCAAATTGGATATGAGATACTAAGTACTCCAAGTCAACAAGTGGATATGATTTTACACTTGGAGGTGCTACAGTATCATAGAAATCTTCAAAACAAATATGTATAGCTAGATCAACAATTGAATTTGAATTCATTGCGTTAGATAAAACTAGAGAATTTGAATTCATTGGGGACATGGCACAGTTACGATATGATGTTGCGATGTTACGAGCTGGATTAGGAGACCTCCATGCTGAGGTTGTAGCGATACGGGGTGACATAGCAGGCCTGCGTGGGACGAGCGATTATCGAGATGGAGGAGGTAGCGGAGGGACAGGTCACTAGCGGGACGGAGGGGGTGACGGAGGGACTGGTGGCTATCGAGATGGAGGGACTGGCGGTTATCGGGACGGAGGGGGTGACGGAGGGGTCGGTGGTTATCAGGGGGGAGTGGGTCAGATGGGGTATGTTGACTCATCGTGGCCATCAGTTGCTGCATTTGGTTCATTTTTAGATGACACGATGGGGATGGAGGAGCGAGAGAGGATACCTGTGGTGGAGGGGATGCCTGCGCAGGATATACCTGAGGACGTGGAGGGGGTACCCGAGGAGGAGAGGGTACCGGAGATGGAGGTGGAGATGGTATCGGAGGTGGGGGTGCCCGTGCAGGGGATACCCGAGGTCGTCGAGGGGGCATCGGAGGTGGAGGTGGAGGTGGAGGTCGTACCCGTGCAGGGGATACCCGGGGATGCCAAGGGGGTACCTGAGGAGGATAGGGTACTGGAGCTGGAGGTGGTCCCGACAGCGGGCGAGGGGATCGTCCCGATGGCTGGGGAGATGGAGATTCCCGAGGCACATGAGGAGCGGGTGGTCGGCAAGAGGCCAAGGGTGCCATCACAGTACGTTCTTTCTCCCTTTACCGCGGAGGCGAAGAGGAGAAGGTTCGTCGACGAGACGCACCCGAATTTATTCAGGGAGGTTGACCACGCCAAGTGGAAAGCCTTTGAGACAGAGTGGAGAGCACTGCAGCCTGGGTCAGTTTTGTATTTTATGTAATTACTATAGTACGCAGACGCTGACACTGACACTGACACTGACACATGTATACTTCATATAATTAAAAATTCTGTTCTTATTTTTTCAGGGCCAGCCGCACGATTGCTGAGAAGACGATCTCAAATGCTTACAAGTGGTTCCACGACATCACCACTTCGGGGGCTTGGCTCGCCGACGATGTAAGTGAAATGAAAATATTGTTATTTATTATGTACGTTCGAAATCAATTTTTTGAATGAAATTCGTAGATTAACTCCTTTCTTTATTGGTGTTTCTTTATGTAGCACATCGACTTGAGCATGGATTTGCTATGGGATCGTGCTGAAAGACATCCAAAATCGTTCAACATTCCTGGCAGACTCATATTGAACACCGAGTTCATCCGTGCCGTTGACATTGAGTACCAGTCGTTCCAGGCTATGGGTAGCGAGTACACGGAGCCGGAATATATGATGGAATGGGTCGTAGGGATGTGGCCGAGTGTCGGTGGGAAGCCATGGGATGGCTGTATGCATATGTACGTACCAGTATGTCTGAATCATCACTACATTGCAGTGGAAATCGTATTCGCCGACTCCACGATTTATGTGTACGACCCCGATCATTCATGCCTGACACAAGGCCAGCTCGAGCAAAATCTAGAGTCGCTGTCTACAAGACCAGCTCGAGTAAAATCTAGAGTCGGTGTCTGTGATCGTTCTCATGATGGCTAGACGAGCGAATATCACTGTACATGACAGATTGGCCACCGTGCGGAACACGACGACGGCGAGGCAGCAAATATCGTAAGTGTTTGTAATTTTCTTTTTGCCATTTACATCTAGGTTCTAACTAATTTTCAATGTGCTAATACAACATTGTTTAATTGTAGGGGTAATTACGGCATGTTCGTCATCAAGTACATGAAATTTTTTAGCGTGGCACATAAGGTTGATGCAATCAACCAGGCATGGATACAAAATTGGAGAAATAAACTAGCATGTGATTTATTTGAATTTAATGGGGATCCGTAAATAATTGTACATATTTTTACATTTATTTAAACATTGTACAATTCATTCATTTATTTGTAATTACGAAAAAATTGTAAAATGTTGATTGCGTATGTAATATTTAAATATTTATTTTACAATGTAGCCTACCGTATAATGCAGTTTTTAGAAAAAGTTTCTATTTCAAATAATTAACATAAATAATATGCATAACAAATGAATGTAATGAATGAAATGTTTGAAAAAAATACTAAATCTAATAATTCGCATAAATAATAT